TATCCAAAAATGTTGGCAGTTATGTAAATAATAGTCGGATATCCAACATTAAATGACTAGTTATCTTTTCAGGAATAAACCAGTCTCAAAAACAGTGGTTACATGTTTTTTCAGCATCTATAATTTGCTAATTTATTTATAGCGCTTGCTTATTAGGGATAGCGAGAAAACTGCTTCAGAAGTATTTATTATGGTTTCGAGCTGAGCGTCGGACCCAGAATCAAGAAGTCCTCGGTTCGAGGCCCGGTGAGGTCATTCGCATTTCTTCCTTCCGAGGTTGACGTTTTTTTACAACTCTGATTGTCCTATCTTCCTTTAAAAATAGAAATAGTGATAGGCTTCTCCACAATTAAGTTAATGAAAGCAACGGCTCACTGCCTGCATCTAGTTAGTGTGAGGAAACCTATATTCCAATTGCTACAGATTTTTTTTCCATTTTTTCTGTTTTTTACCTCCATTCGGGCCTTTTGCCATTGATAGTATACTTCAATTTATTCACATGAAAGCGATCGTTCATTCAGTTTAAATTACCTGACCTGCTATTGCCAACTCTGGGGCGAAGTCTTCCGACTACTAACATTTAATCTACTCGAAAGTGAGGAGTGTGCTTCCTGCGTGTAACTGGAAAGACACTTCGCAATTTGTTGCTCACAATATCGTGGCCAATCTAACTTCGAAGGCTGTCGGCGGGCGATGCCCATGTCTGCATGTACTTGCCTTTTTAAGTATTTCTGAGAATAACAACTCCTTAGGGTAGGTATATGAATTAACATGTAACTACAAGAAATGTTAAATAACAGAAAGACGTAGCAGCGTCATTCAAAAAACTAAGACCCAATTGGCAAGTTAGATGATCGCAGCTGAGCGTGAAGGGGTTGACGAAGCACTGAGGAGTAAACAAAGCTTTGCCCACAGAGAAGTCAAGGAACACTGCGAAAAGACCTGACGGATTGTTATACTCGCTGCGTAGTGAGTACGTTCCCTGGTTGTCAAAATGCATCGACTCACCTAAGAAAGTCATCGGATGGACAGGCGCATCAAGTAGGGAGTGAAGAATGTGAACTATATTTGGATTTCAAGAGCCTTGTCGCTTCTGTCGCAGAAAAGTTTTTAACCAGCAGCACCAATAAAAAATTTGTCGCCTGGCTCCGAAGGTACGAACTGCCGTAGAGAACCATCAGGAACGGACTTCTGTAACTCGCTCACCTCT